TCTTGGGTCACACATCAAGACTTGGTAAATTTAAGAAAACTGAAATCGTATCAAGTATCTTTTCCAACCACAACACTATGAAAGTAGATATCAATTACAGGAAAAAATATATAAAGAATACAAATAGATGGAGGCTAAACAATACGCTATTAAATAACCAAGAGATCACTGAAGAAATCAAAGAGGAAATCAAAAAACACCTAGAAACAAATGACAATGAAAACATGATGACCCAAAACCTATGTGAAGCAGCAAAAGCAGTTCTAAGAGGGAAGTTTATAGCAACACAATCCTACCTCAAGGAAAAAGAAAAACCTCAAATAAACAACCTAACTTTACACCTTAAGCAATTAGAGAAAGAAGAACAAAAAAAACCCAAAGCTAGCAGAAGGAAAGGACTGATAAAGACCAGACCAGAAATAAATGAAAAAGAAATGAAGGAAACAATAGCAAGGATCAATAAAACGTAAAACTGGTTCTTTGAGAAGATAAACAAAATTGATAAACTATTAGCAAGACTCATCAAGAAAAAAGGGAGAAGACTCAAATCAATAGAATTAGAAATGAAAAAGGAGAACTAACAACTGACACTGCAGAAATACAAAGGATCACGAGAGATTACTAAAAACAATTATATACCAATAAAATGGAAAACCTGGAAGAAATGGACAAATTCTTAGAAAAGCACAACCTTCCAAGACTGAACCAAGAAGAAACAGAAAATATAAACAGACCAATCTCAAGCACTGAAATTGAAACTGTGATTAAAAATCTTCCAACAAACAAAAGCCCAGGACCAGATGGCTTCACAGGCAAATTCTAACATTTACACAAGAGCTAACACCTATCCTTCTCAAACTCTTCCAAAATATAACAGAGGGAGGAACACTCCCAAACTCATTCTATAAGGCCACCATCACCCTGATACGAAAATTGGACAAAGATGTCACAAACAAAAAAACTACAGGCCAGTATCACTAATGAACACACATGCAAAAATCCTCAACAAAACACTAGCAAACAGAAACCAACAGCATATTGAAAGGATCATACACCATGATCAAGTGGGGTTTATCCCAGGAATGCAAGGATTCTTCAATATATGCAAATCAATCAATGTGATAAACTGTATTAACAAATTGAAGGAGAAAAACCATATGATCATCTCAATAGACGCAGAAAAAGCTTTTGACAAAATTCAACACCCATTTATGATAAAACCTCTCCAGAAAGTAGGCATAGAGGGAACCTACCTCAACATACTAAAGGCCATATATGACAAGCCCACAGCCAACATCGTTCTCAATGGTGAAAAACTGAAACCATTTCCACTAAGATCAGGAACAACAAGGTTGCCCACTATCATCACTATTATTCTACATAGTTTTGGAAGTTTTGGCCACAGCAATCAGAGAAGAAAAATAAGTAAAAGGAATCCAAATCAGAAAAGAAGAAGTAAAACTGTTACTGTTTGCAGATGACATGATACTATACATAGAGAATCCTAAAGATGCTACCAGAAAACTACTAGAGCTAATCAATGAATTTGGTAAAGTAGCAGGATACAAAATTAATGCACAGAAATCTCTTGCATTCCTATACACTAATGATGAAAAATCTGAAAGAGAAATAAGGAAACATTCCCATTTACGACTACAACAAAAAGAATAAAGTATCTAGGAATAAACCTACCTAAGAAGACAGAAGATCTGTATGCAGAAAACCATAAGACACTGATGAAAGAAATTAAAGATGATACAAACAGATGCAGAGATATACCATGTTCTTGGATTGGAAGAATCAACATTGTGAAAATGACTATACTACCCAAAGCAATCTACAGATTCAATTGCAATTCCTATCAAACTACCAATGGCATCTTTCACAGAACTACAACAAAAAATTTCACAATTTGTATGGAAACACAAAAGACCCTGAATAGACAAAGCAATTTTGAGAAAGAAAAGCAGAGCTGGAGGAATCAGGCTCCCTGACTTCAGACTATACTACAAAGCTACACTTATCAAGAAAGTATGGTACTGGCACAAAGACAGAAATATATATCAATGGAACAGGATAGAAAGCCCAGAGATAAACCCACACACATATGGTCACTTATTTTTGATAAAGGAGGCAAGAATATACAATGGAGAAAAGACAGCCTCTCCATTAATTGGTGCTGGGAAAACTGGACAGCTACATGTAAAAGAATGAAATTGGAACACTCCCTAACACCATACACAAAAATAAACTCAAAACGGCTTAAAGCCCTAAATGTAAGGCCAGATACTGTAAAACTCTTAGAGGAAAACATAGGCAGAACACTCTTTGACATAAATCACAGCAAGATTCTTTTTGACCTACCCCCTAGAGAAATGGAAATAAAAACAAAACTAAACAAACGGGACCTAATGAACCCTAAAAGCTTTTGCACAGCAAAGGACATCATAAACAAGACAAAAAGACAACCCTCAGAATGGGAGAAAATATTTGCAAATGAAGCAACAACAAAGGATTAATCTCCAAAATTTACAAGCAGCTCATGCAGCTCAACATCAAAAAAACAAACAACCCAATCCAAAAATGGGCAGAAGATATACAGACTGCCAACAAACACATGAAAGGATGCTCAACATCACTAATCATTAGAGAAATGTAAATCAAAACTACAGTGAGCTATTACCTCACACCAGTCAGGATGGCCATCATCAAAAAATTTACAAACAATAAATGCTGGAGAGGATGTGGAGAAAAGTGAACTCTCTTGCACTGTTGGTGGGAATGTAAATTGATACAGCCACTATGGAGAACAGTATAGTTCTTAAAAACCTAAAAATAGAACTACCATACGACCCAGCAATCCCACTACTGGGCATATACCCTGAGAAAACCATAATTTAAAAAGAGTCGTGTACCACAGTGTTCACTGCAGCTCTATTTACAATAGCCAGGACACGGAAGCAACCTAAGTGTCCATCGACAGATGAATGGATAAAGAAGATGTGGCACATATATGCAATGGAGTATTACTCAGCCATAAAAAGAAACGAAATAGAGTTATTTGTAGTGAGGTGGATGGACCTAGAGACTGTCATATAGAGTGAAGTGAGTCAGAAAGAGAAAAACAAATACCATATGATAACACATGCATATGCAATCTAAAAAAAAAAAAAAGGTTCTGAAGAACCTAGCAGCAGGACACGAATAAAGACACAGCTGTAGAGAATGGACTTGAAGACACAGGGAGGGGGAAGTGTAAGCTGGGACGAAGTTAGAAAGTGGCATGGACATAGATACACTACCAAATGTAAAATAGATAGCTAGTGGAAAGCAGCTGCATAGCACAGGGAGATCAGCTTGGTGCTTTGTGTCCACCTAGAGTCGTTGGCTAGGGAGGGTGGGAGGGAGACTCAAGAGGGAGGCGATATGGGGATATATGTATACGTATAGCTGATTCACTTTGTTATACAGCAGAAACTAACACACCATTGTAAAGCAATTATACTCCAACAGAGATGTTAAAAGAAATAAAAATAATAGGTAATAGCTAAATTCATAAGCCCTAAGAATTTGAGATGAGGTAATAAATTTAATTAGAAAGCATACAAATAGTCATCAAAAATTGTAGCATAGTCAGACAGAAAAAGACAAACATCGTATGATATCACTTATATGTGGAATCTAAAAAAATGATACAAATGAACTTCCTTACAAAACAGAAACAGACTCACAGGTTTAGAAAACACACTTACTGTTACCGAAAGGGAAACGGGGTGGGGGGGAGAGATAAATTAGGAATTTGGGATTAACATATACGCACACTACAATATATAAAATAGATAACCAACAAGGACTTGTTTTATAGCTCAGGGAACTCTACTCAATATTCTGTAATAACCTGAATGGGAAAAGAATCTGGACAAGAATAGATATATGTATATGTATAACTGAATCACTTTGCTGTATACCTGAAACTGACACCACATTGTAAATCAACTATACTCCAATATAAAATGAAAATTTTAAAAATTAATAAAAAAGATAAGAACACATTTTAAAATTTCTTCCATTTAAGAAAAGAAAGAGCATAACTCTAAAATCAGGAAGCTAACAAGATTAAAGTTCGATAACCTACAGCAAAAGAACACTCTGGTTCCTCTAAAGAAGGGTGGATCACTACCAGTATGCTGAATGCAAAATATAACATCTCATTATTGGTCTTTACTATGTAGGGCTAAATAAGACAAAGGCTCAGGTCATTTCTTAAAGTAGGTTGAAAGGAAAGGGCATAGAGAAGTGAGGAGAAGGGAATCTAGTTTCATTGTCAGGAATAGTGAACTTTATGCAAAAAAAAAAAGCCAAAATTCTCTATAAAATAATGTGGGGGATGAGGCAGGCCACCAGCACAAACGTATCTAATTTGATAAAAGGCGAAAGAAACTAACTTTGATTAAATATCTATTATGTATTATTTTAGGAAACAACATTCAGTTTATCTGAATATAGTCTTGTTTTCAAGAATGAATTCACTGCCCTCTGAACAACTCCCTTTAAGTCTAACCATTTATTCAGTCTCTATCGCATTGTCAGATGATTCTATCTGCATTTGTAGCATTAAGTAGACACTAACTACCGCTATGAAGTTACATTAAGAACTATTTGCTCTCAACTTTTTAAAGCATTTTGGACAGTCTTCCACCCTGAGAATTTTATAATGTTCATAGATAATATCAAAATGTGTCAATATCTCAGCAAAGTGTTTTTTTGATTCCTGTATATTTTTGTTTCATAAATGAAATAGCATCATATTTTTAAAACTGACCCAGTGGCACTGAGGGATAAAAAATGCCTCAGTCACTGGTATGATCAGTTGGCAATTGGCAGAATCATGAATACTTCAAGCAATACTTTCATGATTATAAATTATACTGAGATCTACAAGATTTGAGATACACAAGTTGTTTTCAGTACCAATGCTTTACATTTATTTTGATACTTACGTTATACTCAGACACGACTCCTTTATAAATTTCATAAAACTCTTCAACATTAACTCGATCCATGTTGAACTATATTTAAAAAAAAAAACAAAAACATAAGCCAACCAACACAATAGAATGAGCCACACTTAGCACTCAACATTTATGATCTCTTGGATATATTTCCTTTAAAATGTAAACCTTGAACAAATTAAACAGTCTTTGAAGAAAAAGTGTTAAAGTTCAGATCATCAATAACAAATTATTGTTTATTAAAAATAAAAAATTATTTATAACATTTGAGTACTTAAATATATCAAGCATTGCTCTAGGTCCTGTAGGTACATCATCTCAGTTAACCGTAAAAATCACCCTACAAGGTAAGTAATGTTAACAGCCCCCATTTACAGATGAGGTGAAGACTCAGAGGGGTTATGTAGCCTTCAGTACTTGGCATTCCATCTTAAGCAGTCTGATCTCACTGACCATACTCTCAGCCACTACACTCTACCTCGCTGAAAAAAACCTCATTCCTGGTACAGAAACGACTTATGTATCTATACAATGTAATGTTGTTTATCAATAGATTAGTGGCACAAATAAGAAGCACAGGGAGATCAGCTCGATGCTTTGTGACGACCTAGAGGGGTGGGATAGGGAGGGTGGGAGGGAGGGGATATGGGGATATATTTATACATATAGCGAACGACCTAGAGGGGTGGGATAGGGGGGGTGGGAGGGAGGGGATATGGGGATATATTTATACATATAGCTGATTTGCTTTGTTGTACAGCAGAAACTAACACAACATTGTAAAGCAATTATACTCCAATAAAGATGTAAAAATAAATGAATAAATAAAAATAAAATTAAAAAAAATTTTTTTAAAGAAATATTACTAAAGAAAAGTTCTTCAAATTTTGTAGAGGGGGCTGGAAATAATACCCTTTTCCTCCCAAGCATTCAGAAAAATCCCTAGTCTGGCTCAAAATAAAGCACTGACACCATTCATCTGGAAATCCTACTCCTCTTCAAAAAGAATTGTCAGAATATGCTAATAAGGTAAACCTACATGAGTCATTCTTATCCAGGCTGGATTCAAAACTTAGAAATAAAATTTCATTAAGTTCTACCATCTCAAGAACCAGAACCTTAAATTTTTAAAAAATAGCCTCAGACTTCCCAATTTTGTTTTCCTCCCTACTTTGCTTCTTTATTGTTGCCAGGATTGAAGATCACTAAGAAGTTTCTACCAAGACAATAGTTCAAACTAGGAAGATTTATTTTCATAGGCAACATAACTATTACAGGGAGGGAATTTTGTTTGATTTCAGTATATTATTTGATATTCATACAAATTCTTATATTACTAATACCATAAAATAATAACAGAAAATATAATTTATTAAATACTTAGTAACTTGTACCGGAAATTCTACAAAGTATTGTGTAGGGTTATTTCATTTATTCCATGAAATAATCCATTAAGGCAAATAGTATTCTCATTGCCTAGCTGAGAAAACTGAAGATAAGAATGCTTAAAATCTGGCCAAGTTCACATACTTAGAAAGCAGAAGACACATGATTCAGAAATAGAGCTTTCTGATTCCAAAAATCACAACACGATTGCCACTAAACTACCATGCCTCCCCCATAAGTTCAATTGATTCTTTTTTTTTTAATTATTTTTTTTCACTGAGTACCTACTATGGACAATCACTATTCTAGGTTGTAGGCCTAGAGTTAGATCAATGATTAATTCTAAAATTTCCACAAGGATTACTACTTAAGGAGGCTTAGGTAGGTCCTATAACCCTGCGACTACATAACCAGGCTAATACTTTGAGAACGTTTTGGCTAACAATTTCATTATAGTCCTGGCTAAGATTCTTCAATTATTAACTTCCTCATCAGTCTCCAAGTTGTGCCTGATAACTCTGTAAACTAGCTGATATTTCTGATCTTTTCTCAGCTTATTAACATTCCCACCAATCTGGGATACAAAATAGGCAGAACCTCAGTTAGTGTCCTGACCTCTGATTTTGGGTGATCCTAAGACTTCATAGAAATGAAAAGCAGTTCCTTTTCAGAAAAAGAGCAAATAAATTATATTGGTAAGAAAATTCTTTCCAAAACTGGCATTTCAGTGTCATAATAATGCAAACTTGCTGGCCTTCAAAAATTGTAAAATGTAAAGACAGACTAATTAAAGATGATTTTAAACCCTAAAACAACACTAAAAAAATTTTTAGAGGTATAAGTAATAAATCGATAGTGGAAATAAAATGGAATCATTAAAAAAATCCCCATTAATGCAAAAAAAAGAGGAAAAATGAAACAAAAACAAAAAACAATTGTAAAATGTAAATTATTTGATTCCTATAATAATTTGTGCCCAATTTATCATCAAATGCACTGATAAGTATAGCACAAAGATATAGAGGGACTCTATAGAAGTTAATATTGTTTCTTCAGTGAAGGGTTTCCGAGAAATGTGCCAGCAGGGCAATTTTGAATGATTGTGGGCTCCGGAGATCCAGTGGTATGACTGCCAACAGAGGGGCTGAAATGTGCTAACTCCAAAGAAGATCCTGAGGGAAACTCCAGAAACCAACAAAGGTCCTGGGAAAAATCTGAATTGATTCTCTTCTTAGTCACAAATCCAGACAACAGAAAATTCATTACAACTACTTAGCTTAATTCTATATTTTGTTTGGAGGAACTAAATGTATTGTTTCAGTCTGCATTTATTTTGCAACTAAAGTTCCAGGAATTACATAAACCTGCTTTATAAGCTTAAATTAGATGTACCATTAGAATATTAGTTCTCTTAGTGAGAGATTATATAGGTAAAGTCAGTTCAAAAATATTTTTTTACTATAAGGTTATCAAGTTCAACAAATATATCTTTTTATTTTTAATGCATTGAGTTCACAAGTACACAGAGAAAATTCAGTGTAAAAAATTTTCAAGCATACTTCAAAAAAAAACACAGTTCCTCAGTAAGTTATGACCCATTGCAAACTACCTACCATCTGCATAGCTGAAATTTCAAAACCTGCATCTCGGATAGCCATCAGAATCTTTCCCAGCAGTCCTGAAAATACAGAACAAATGAGTGCAAAAAATATAAAATTTCTAAGGCATTTTAGTTTTAGAGAAATGCAAATTTTCTATATCAAATTACTTTGCTTACATTCTATAGGAAGGAATCACATATTTCTGAGGGAAACTAAACCCCTAATACTGTAATCCCATTTGATTCACTTAGTAAAGTGCTTCAGGAATACCAACAATGATCTTGAAGATTATGCAAAAAACTTTTAAGTTACTATTGCCTGTAAGGACCCTGAGGGCTAGTGATGTAAAGAATATGAAAATCAAACAATTAAAGTAATATTACCAAAAAAAAATGAAATGTTCAAGTACCAGATACAGAAGGAGTTCACAGGAGCAGTTCAAAGAAGGAGAAATATCAAATTACAACTGAAGAGGGGAACAGAAGCTTCAAGGGGATATGAGAGCATGAACTGGCCCTTAAAGGCTATAGGTAGATGGCATTATATAGGGACAGAGGTATAAAAAGAGACAAGGCATAATTCTGGGAAAACTGTGAATATGTGTACAGAATAGTAAGAAGTCAAAAAAGAAAAAGATAAAAAAGGAAAAGAGACTTAATCCAAATTGATAAAGGCCTTAGATATCAACATGAGGAATTTGGTCTTTATCCCACGAATAGCAACATTTATAATGGTGTTTGTAGACTCTGGAGGTCTAGAACTGATTTTTTAGATTCCATTAGTCTTCTATAAAAATCTCCTAAGTTTCTTTTTTTCAAGTGAACTAAAATTCTCTCTCTCTCTCTCTCTCATACACACATACACACACACACACTCCATATTCTGGATCATCTTGATGTTCACCTAATAACCCCAAAAAAACAAGTAGTATCAGTGCCCGAATGTGCATTTTTATTTACTATCTTACTGCTGCCAAATAGGCTATTTTAATTGTAGCTGGCTGAGGGATGAAAAAAAAAAAAAAAAAAAGACAAGGACAGATCTATTTCTTGAATATGTTTGTACCAAGTGAAGGCCAAATGATACCATAATATGCTGTAGAAACAAAGGTTTCTCAGAAGTTTCAAGAGTAGAATAGGCCCAGTGGTGCAGTGGTTAAGACTTCAAGCTCCCAATGCAGGGGGCCCGGGTTCGATCCCTGGTCAGGGAACTAGATCCCACATGCATGCTGCAACTAAGAGTTTGCATGCCGCAACTAAGGAGCCCACCTGCTGCAACTAAGACCCAGTGCAACCTAATTAATTAATTAAAAAAATAAAAGAGTAGAATAGGCCTGTGCCAAACTCAGAGCACTTAGTACCATATTCACGTTGAGCTTACTGATTACGTTTCAGCAAACATCTTTTGTCACATTAATGTTAACTTCACGTTGAGCTTACTGATTACGTTTCAGCAAACATCTTTTGTCACATTAATGTTAACTTAAATTTTATCCATTTTATAGTTTTGTTTGTAATGAATTTGTAAACTGTTTTAGTTACACAATTTTATGTACAAGCGTTTATATTTCGTTGTATATTTAAGTTACATTATAATTAAGATATTTTATGTCAACACTGGGAATCCATGAGAAAATTTTTCCTTCAAAAGAAACATTGCCAAAAAAAAAAAAAGAAAGAAACACTGCCAAAAGAAATGGATCACTGAAAATGTTGAACAGGAGAATACAGGATAAATACAGTATTTTAGGAAGACTACTAATGTAATAATAATGGGCAAGCTGGTCTGAAGAAAAGAATAAGGGATAGAAAGAATAGCAAAGGCCGTTGAAGTCATCTACTGTGCTGACTAGACTTGGATGGCAGTAGTAGAGAAATAAAGAAGTAATGAATATAAGATATTTCCAAACAAAAAGTAACAAGACTAAAGTAACAAGACTCAAGTGAACATAGAGTGTGAACATGAAGGAATAAAGGTTTTGAGTCTAAGTAACTAGAAGAATGATAGCACTTTTAAGAAGAAAACAAGCTAAGAAACCAAATTAAGAAAAAAGTGAATGATTCTGGACATAGAAACAGAATTTTAGAGCAGAATGCTAACCAGCATTTGAGAAGACAGTATATCCAACGGCAATAAAAATCATCAAGGAATGAATGAATAAACTCCCTATACTACATTGGTAATATGGGGTTGTATTCCAATAGACAGACAGATATAATGAGGCTACAGAGAGGTTAGAGCTGAAGTGATGAGAATAGATGACTGTTTGACAAAAAGAAGGGCAAAAGCAAAAAAAGAGTTGGGAGGAATGAGTTTTGAGAAAATATCTAAAGTTTGGGGACATGTAAAAGGATACTTGCAAAAGAATAAAGAAGGAAAATATTACACTAGTATCAAAAGAAGGAGGAAATTCTTAGAATACAGGGATAGTTAAGAATTAAAGGAGATTAAGCACCTTGGAACTAAGATAAATCCTTTGGCTTAAGCAAGATGGTATGATGATATTAAAGAAAGTCATATCAACAGAGTGTTAGGAAAGAGAAGTTAGATAACCTATTAGTAATCTGTACCAAACACTCAGATGGCATAGGACACAGGAATGTTAACCAAAATTCCAGGTCTTTTATCAATAGGAAAAGTATAGACAAAAGTTAGGAAAGAAGAAAGTAAATTAATTATTGGGGGCTGAGCCCTTTCATATGAAGTTATTCCACTTAATCCTTAAAGCAATACACTAAAACAGGGGCTACCATCCCACCATAAGGTGAGAATATATGAAGATTTGGAGAAGACAAATAACTTGCTCAACGTTACAAAATTAGTGGGTCTCCAAATCCCACTGTCTTTCTGCAAGTTTCAATAGAAAAACAGGAACGTGTATATGAAAGCCTGATATGTAAAACTCACTAGACAATATAACCCCCTGAGGCAAGGGCCGTGCTCATTTTAGGACTCATTTTATCTCCAGTGACACTAGCAAAGTGTCTAGCATGTAGTAGGTAGTTAACAAATATTGTTCACTGAATTACAAAGTTAATAAAAGAAATAACCAAAGGAAAAAACAGTCATAGCTCTCTGACTGATCCAAGTCTGAGAAACTCTAAAGCTCTTCAGAGCACAATTAGAAAATACCAGAAAATTGTAAAGGAGTAATTAAAATTAGAGAAGGGAAAAAAAATTTTAATTTTTTGGTTTAACAGTTTGAGAGAAAAAGTTCATACTGGCCTCATGCCACATACAAACATTAATCCTAATGAATTCAAGGTAAATGTAAAAAAAAATAAAGGCAATTGATTAGAAAAACATATAGGTGATTATACTCATGATATAGGTAGCCTTTTAAAAAGGAAAGAAAAAGGTTGGTTCCTTGGTGTAAGCTTCAATTCCAGCTCTGGATAGACTCACCCTCCTCCAATATGCAATCTTTTTCTCATATCTTTTTCCATATATTTATTCCTTTCTACTTGGTCCATTTTTCCTCTCACCCTCACCATCAGTTCACCTTCTAAGTCTTTCCTCAGTGTCTTCTGAAGCCCTGAAGTATTTTGAACAGTTACCTTTATGCCCTCAGTCTCAGTTACCCCACCACAAGCTCTCTTACTTAGAATTTAATCTTCATTTTCATTTACCTGCAATCGTAGCAGGTTAAAGGCTTGCCTCCTTTTCCCCCTTGCTATGATTTAAATTTTTGTGTGCCAGCCAACTTCATATGTAGCCCAATATGATGGTATTAGGAGGTGGGGCCTTTGGAAGGTGCTCAAGTCATGAGGCTGGAGCCCTCATAAATGAGATCAGTAAAGGCCGAGATTTTAGATGGATTAATAAAACAGGATCCAATTATATGATATCTATAAGAAAGCAAGTTTAAATATGAAGACACAGGTAGGCTGAAAGTAAATGGATGGAAAAATATATACCATGCAAACAATAAGTATAAGAAAGTTGTAATGATTATATTAATTTCAAATAAAGTAGAATTTATGGCAAACAGTATTACACAGATAAATGTCTGGGACTTGTCTAAGGCATTGGGAGACAGTACTTTAGATAGAGAGCTAAAAGAAAACGGATATTCATGGCAAAAAGAGCACTGAGCAAAGGTACAGAGAGGTAAAACAACATGGTTCTTTTGATGAGGGGAAATGAGACAGAATAGATCATAGGAGAGGTGGTAGAAGCCACTGATAGAAGGACTCTTGGACCACAGACAGAGGTTTGAATTTTACCCTATAGGCCAGAAGTTCCCAAAACATTTTGGTCTCATGGACCCCTTAGCTCTTAGAAATTATTAAAGACTCTAAAACACTTTTATGTAAATAGGTTATATTGATAAATATTTGTTGTATTAAACAGCAAATTTTAAAATATTAACTTAAATATAACAAAAAATATTTACATTTTAACATAAATACAATTTTTATGAGAAAAATGACTATTTTCCAAAACAATAAAAAAATCAGTGAGAAGAGAGAGATTGTTTTACATTTTTAAAAATCTCTAATGTCTAATTTAATGAAAAGCAGTTGCATTCAACTTTCAACCTGCTGTTATGTGTTGTTTGCTTAAAGTATATTTAGTTGGAAAATGGTGTAGTATTTTAATAGCCTTTAATATAATTGTATATATTCTTCTTCACTTGACAAGTGGTAGCTTCTTAAAAGCTCACTGCAACATATAATTTCAAACTTCTACCAACGACCTTTTTTTTAACCCTGTTGCATTAAAATCCACTGGTCAATCTTGTACTTTGTATAAATCTTTTTTTTTTTTTTTTTTTTTTTTTTGCGGTACGCGGGCCTGTCACTGCTGTGGCCTCTCCCGTTGCGGAGCACAGGCTCCGGACGCGCAGGCCCAGCAGCCATGGCTCACGGGCCCAGCCGCTCCGCTGCATGTGGGATCCTCCCGGACTGGGGCACGAACCCACGTCCCCCGCATCGGCAGGCAGACTCTCAACCACTGCGCCACCAGGGAAGCCCTTGTATAAATCTTTTATCCATGCATGATTTTATAACATCATACACATTGATCATTTGGAAAATATTAGTTCACTGAGTTATGCAGATCTTTCAAATGCTGA